GCTCTTTTTTATGACCAAGATTATCAGAATATAAAAGAAACTAGGAATGAACACAATTGGGAAATCCGTGGGGCTTAGAAAACCTTCGCTAAAAAGGAGCGTATTCAAGCATTCAACCTCGCCGTGTCTAGTCATATTATGGTGAAGTCAATGGAATAGATGCAAAAAATTAGAAAAGAACCAGCGCTTGCGCGAAAAAAATAAATATTTTGTGTGTGCAGCGCATGCGCTGCACACGGTCCCACACGGTGCTCAAGGTGTGATGCGCATGCGCTGCATAATGTCGTCAACGTGTTAACCTACCGGCGATAGGCCGAAGATTTTGATGCGCGATTTTTTATTAGTTTTGTCCACCCTTTGACTTGTTAGAGCAATAGTACCTACCTGCAGTGAATATACGTAAAGGCTGCTATTTTGAGATGTTTAAAACAGAATTTTTAGCTAGCAACTGATACAACTTTTTGCAAAAAGAGTCCAAATTTCTCATTTCAGAGCGGGACATCGGGGCTCATTTTTTCTACATAGCCAAACGAAAAGATATCCAGCACTGATCGAGTCTATCGAAATCCCATGTCTCATCCTAACAAGGGAGGTCTTCCAGGGTGCGGAGTGCTTTTTCAAAAAGGTTATCTGCATCTTGCAGGAACTCTTGCGTAAAATACGAAATCGGGGTCCATTTTTTTGCTGGTGGCCCCATGAAGGTCAAAAAATGGTTAAGAAATGGTTGAGCGTTCAACTCTCCGCGGTGTCAAAATTTTCGTATGTTAGGTGGGGGCTCCAATTTCCCTCAAATAGCGCCAGCGCCAATAGTAGCTTTTATATTCCTTACCAGGACCGGCTGCTCTTGAAAGTTTCATACTTCACTCCAACGTTGTGCAATCACCCACTCCAAGAAAATTTGTCGATCCTTTTTTTTCCTTCAGGAAGCCAGCCGCTCAGCGAAAATGAACCTCAGTATTGTAATCATGTGAAAGCCCTTAGCCTAGAGCCGTGAGTGCATGCAAAAACGAACGTCTCCCTTGAAAGGCGCATTTGTGAGTGTAGGTGCGTCTCGGCCTAAGGACACATTTTTCATTGATTAAAAAAAGGGCGCTGTCCCAGGCAGCACGCACGAGAAGTCGCCCCTGCCGCCGACGGGTCATCAGTGAACGGTCTATTTTTAGAAACACTGGTCACTGGGAGGCCATGAGTACAATTTCCATCATTTTTAGCAGTACTAGCTTGCTCGAGACCTTATTTTTCTGTGGAGAGAATTTCATTGACCTAGCCTATCGCAGCAAAGGGGGTGGGCATCTTAAGTTAGTTAGTGCTCCCAACACAACTGAAATCACAACATGAACTTACTTCGAGAGAAGTTCACTTTTTCTAGGTTACCATAGACTATTAAAGCCTAGGGTTAGGTGAAGGGTAAGGCTTGGGCTTAAACATATGAATACGCCCTGACTTGTACTTAGGCCTGGAGTTAGGCCTCGGTTTAGGCTTGACTTGCTGAACAACTCAGAGGGTACTAATAGGAAGTGGCCTGAGCTGGCTATGGGAACTAATATGCCCCTACTTCCTTTATATCAAAAGACAAGAAAAGCATCACTTTTGTTAGTTTACTTTTCACATAGGAAAATGGTTCATCCACCTGGCAGGTTCCTCCCTCTGCAAAAAACTGGGATTACTGTAGGCGGCACGAAGGAGCACCGAATGCGCCCCCTCCCTTACTGCAATTGCGTCCAAGTCTTTTCCCAGATTAGTTCAAGCTAAGAATCTTGCCGAATTCCTGAACCACTATTTTTTCTGTGTCAAGCGTATCCATAGAACTCTAACAGATTTAACATTAAGCGAAGTACAAGGAACAGCCCACACATGCCTATCGCCTTCACATCCGGCATTATAATTGGTAAATATTTGAGCCACAAGCGATATTGATGCGGAAGGAGCGCGTGTTAACACAAGACGCAGGGCGATAGGAGAAGCGTGTAGAGAGCGCGTGTCTCCTGGGTGTTCAGGCATTGACGACGGCCATCGATTCTCAGTCGGCCGTTGTCCACTACAGAGGCGTTCGTAATGGGAACACTGTGAATCGAAATATGCAGCAGAAAGCTCGGATACAAAAATAGCCATCGACGCTAATCGCGTTAACTGAACTCTTTCATCCATGGTTGACCACGCATGACCAATCATAGCCTAGCCCGCCAATTACCGTCCTTCTTACCATGCAGCCAATTAGACACGGTACTTCCCAAAATTCCCGTTTCAAAACAAATCTCTCATTTGTGACAGCGTATAGCTCTGTACTTATAAGACATATACACATTTTATATATACACTAAATATAAATATAATATTTACATTACCGAAGTACACAAGGGGGGAAGGGGAGGTGGGCAAAAGTACATCTCTACAAGGAGCACAAGCGCAAGCGGAAAACCTCCGGCAAAATATCCCAAAAGCGTCCCCCAATAACCTGGACGATCGCCTTTGCCCATTCCCATAACAATTTCCAAAATATGGAACCATCGCTGACGAACTCAAGAAGGTCTATCGTAATTGCTTCAGCCTGAAGCAGCCGCATAATTGCCTCGATTGAGTCACTGGTGACAGCTCATGGAAACTGTGGCTCTGATTGCGCAAGACCCCTACGCAGGCCTGCAGTTTGGACAGCCAGCGCCAAGGGAACGCAGTGAATAGCCGTGTCCAGGGTTGACCAGCCAGCTTGGACTGTTGGACGGGCTTAGCTGTACAACTCAAGCCTTTTACCACGTCGGTCTAAACTTTGGTGGAGGCCTTGTGTAGAGTGCCTTTGAGAGGTTTCGCGATGGATTGAGGTGCTCCCATGTGGATTCTCAGGTTTAGGCGTTTGGTAAGATCAAAAAACTGTGGTGAAATCCGAGTTGGAAGCGATTCACTCAAAATAGTAACAATAATTATATAGATATACATTTTTATTATATTTTATCATATTTATTCCTATTTATATTTTTTATTTGTATTTATTGCTAATTCCAGTCAGGCTTGTAAGCTCTAATTTTTCCAATGCTGGAGTCATGCTCAAGACTGAACGAGTTGAATTGGGATGCTTTTTGGAAAGGGCTAATCAGAACGCTGCCGCCCAATGTGAGTGTTACAAGGTAGTAATAGTATTGAACTAGGCTGAAAGGACACATCAACTCTTCCCGACCCCTTTTCTCATATTTTTCGGGTCCTACAGCTCTGAGAAAAGCGATATTTGGCCTTCGTTTGTAAGCTGAAATTCAGCTTACAACTAAAATATAGAATGTTTGTGCATTTCTGGGAAAGCGTGGTGTTAGACCCCGGCCCTGGGTGGTCGTTTACGAACGGAGTTACACCGTTGGCAAACGAATATCCCTGGTCTGAGGGAGGCAACTATTTGGCGGTACTGGCCAGCTGCCAGCCGTTCTCTACCCCTCGGCGTCTTCTTGGAGCACATGTTGTCTCGTCGCGACTGACCACTCGCTCGTCCCGTCGTCGTACTCTTTTCAGGCAGCGCGCACCGCCCGCTCGAGGCATTTGCATATTGCGTAATGTGGGCCGGTCATCGGTCACTCCGAGAGGACATGCCAATCCTCAACTTTCTTGTCCTTGTTCTACTTCTAATAGTCTCGCACTTAGCGAAGGTTAAACGTCATCAAATCAAGTATTTACGTTAAAGCCTCTGAAAGAAGCTAGTAGGATCTCACGCATTTCATTTACATGAGTTCCTCATTAGTTTTTAAACTACGCTGATTTTACAGAGCTTATTTGGACATTTGCCAAGTGTATTACTTCTTAGCTAACTCTAGCCGCTGTAATAGTAATCGAACGGCCAATGAGTTTTGCTCATCAACTGATATGATGACCACTCACACTAGCACAACAGTTGCTTCTTCTGCCAAATCGTAGTTCTCTTTTTACTTGAGTCGATAATCTATTAGTATTTACACTATCCATAAAATATTGGCATCCGTGGGTAAAGCTGAAAAATTCGACCAAATTCTGCCATGAATGCCAATACACCCTCACATGGTCAAAATAGTGCGGCCTGTGAGGTTGTGATTTCTGAAATTAAAACCTCCTTTTGGCAGATTTCCAGAAATTGTCTATATTGATTAATTTTTTCAGAATATTCTAAAATCCGCTTCATTTTGTGGAAGAACGCGGGCTTTTCTGTTCGCCCCGCCTTTTTTGATCAATAACTATTTCTAAGAAGTTTTTAATTTATTTAAAAGAAAATTAGGGTAAAGAAGACTGATTTCAAAATTTCGACAAAAAATAAGACGATAAACAACAAGAGGTCCGGTCAAGCGGGAATAACCTCGAAAGACATTCATTTATTTACTTATTTTGTACAATACTATATTTAATTATGACTACTACATTGTTTATTTTTTACTACTATCTATGGGACCTTAGGGTACTTCAATCTTTTTTGACTTCGAGCATTTACTGCATGCTATTCAAGTTCATTTGAAATTCACTTGTGGTGAAATTGCAGAATTATTGGACAGAGCGGGCCGGGCCGTGAATGTGATAACAGAGGAATTTGTGGCTGTGGTTGGTGATTTTGGATGATTCACAAATAATTGATTTTGGAGCAGATTTTGGACATTCCCCCTAATAGTCATCGAGCAAGCCCCCTCCCTCCCGTCTAGGTTGAGAGCCACAGCCACTTCCGCATTCCTCCGTCTAAAAACAAGAAGCCTGTCTTTTTGCGTTTGAATTCTATTTCTCTGATTCCCTTTTATGTCAAAGTCGCTTAGTACGATATTGGGAGCCAAAATCGTAAAAAATGAAAGTTTGGACCCGTTTTTCATCCATTTTGAGCCTTGAAAAGTAAGTATGCCTTTTGTTTTGTGCTTCAATGAGTGAAACTGCAGTTTCTGGATCTTTCCGATTGCTAAGAATAAATATACTTTAGTCAAAAGCTGAGTGAGGGTGAAACGACGCCCTACTGGTGCAACTCATAGCTCAGCTGCTCGGAAAGCGAGATTTGTGAGTGAGGGCGGAACGATGCCGTGGTGGTGCAATCCATAGCACACTTGCCTGGAAAGCTAGAGGTGTGAGTTCGATTCCTAAGGGCGCAGTGTTTTGCGCCAAGGGTTATAAAACCCAACAACCATGTAAAAGTCATCCAAGAAAGTTGACAGATTAATAAGTAGAAGTGTTTAATCGAACTTTATCGAACCTATGATAGTGAAAACCATGAATAAAGTGAAATTTTCGATGATTGGTCTCATTTTTTTATGATTCTTCTTCTTAATGAGGAGGGTACTAATTCCTGTTTTTTGTTTCATAGGTTTATCAGTGATAAATATCAACTTCGTTCTTAGAAGGAAATTCCAAGAACAGTTGGAAGCGCTGTTGCACTTGAAAATGTGTGAGATGTGATGTGGCCCCCCCCAAAGAGGGAAAAAAACGAATTAGTGAAAATGAGGGTTCGATTTTCTTGGATGACTTCCGCGAGTCAGAAGGAACTATCTGTTTAAAAGATACTGTGTGCAGAAGCGAGAGAAGAGACGAGCGAGACGGGAGCACATGGTAAAAGCGAGAGCGCAGATATCGTAAAGCATTGCGTAGCGAGCCACTGGAGCGGCTACCTGCAGCTAAAGTGGCAAGGCCTTAACGGGTTTGTCGCACGCTTTTCGAGCTCACCAACGGTTTGGCCTCTGTGCTTGCGAACTCTGCCAACTCATCCACGGGAGGGACTGCTTCAATTATCACGAAAGTTTTCTACAATTACTCCAAATCCAACTTTCAGGGCGCCCTAACTACAACCACCCCCCGGAAGGGCTTGCAACCTTCTTCCATTCGTTCGCGAGAATGAACCCGCTAAAAAATTTTGGGAAAAGTACATGAATAATATTGAGATTCAAGAACAGCTTTTGGTTTTACAAGGTGTATGGTTCAATGGCTACAAAATCGATAATTTTATTTTAGGGAAATACTGCAAAGGCTACACAATAATTCGCTCTTTTTTGGCTATACGAAACCACAATTTTAACAGATACTGCGGGGTCATCTGACGATGTTGAAATGACCCTTCCACATCTGACTACCCTTTTTCCACCCATCATCTACTCTGTATTTGAGCAACTCTCCACCAGGTTCCAGCAAAGTTTACAGTGGTCGGTTTCACTTCTATCGTTCGCGTCCACGCAGCTTTCCAGGAAGAGTCAACATCGTGCTGGGCAAATTTCGGGGCCACTACGACCGCCCCCCGGAAAGCCTTTCGACCCTTCTTCCTTTCGTTCGCGAGAATGAACATTGAAGCTTGTGAACAATAATTACGTCATGTGCTAGATGTGTTCGTAGTCGCAGTGTGTGTTGACGATGGAGCACGTTATGTTCCTATCAAATAACAAGAGAGGGACGCGAAAATGTTACTCTTCGTCGGAAATGCCCAACTTCTCTCAAGGATAGCATTTGGAAAAACTCAGAAAGTTTCGAAAAGGTCGAAAGTTTTCTGACGATAATCAAGCCTATCTCGCTCATTGTCCTCTGTTACGAAGTGGAAAAAATTAAATTTTCCGGAAATGCCCTCTTTTTTTCTTCAAACCTTCGAACTTTTTTCAATGCGACTCCATGCAAACAAAAAAGAGACACGGGGTTCAATCAGCTTCCTATTAATATAATCGCTTCGAAGTGGTCACGTCTTCAAAAAACGTTTTGTAGAGGAATTTTCGTGCATACGCGATTTTTCAACCTTCGAGAGAAAGCAACATTTTACAGGTTGTTTCCAGGAATTCTGTGAGCGTCACGAGCGTTTGCATTTCCTGGGCTGCGAATGATCACAGGTTCCCTCAAACGTTTAATTTGTGAATAGGTTGATGTCCGGAAAATAAATAGAACCGGATTTTTTAACAAGCGCTAAATAGCTATAAGAATTGCTCTATCACCAATGGTCCCCTGAGATTTTTTTCATGAGCCTTGTAAAGCCAATTCCTTCATGTGATGGCGTATCGCCCTTGAGCCAGGATTCCTTAATTCGTCTAATCAGTATCTTCGCATTCCAGTAGATAGAAGCAATAGCTTAGAGCTTGGACACATTTTTTTCTTTTCTGTTATGCGCCATGCAGTTGACGTCTCCTCGAAATGGAATATGCATTTGAAAGGTATCACGTGGACGTTGGAATTTATCTTGCTCCTCGTGGTAACAACAATAAATGGGACGTGTATTCATGGCAAGGTCATTTTGTGCTGTATTTTTCCTCTTTTATTTTTTGCACTCCACATTAATTACAAAATTCAGTGTTTTTGAGAAAAATAGACGAGTTCTTCTTGTGTAATTGAATATTTCACCACGTTGCCCCACACCTTACGGTCTTGCACGAGTTCCACTCTGCAAGATGCCGCCACACTTTCCGCTGCTCTATTGCATCTACCGCCGCTCTCCCCACTCCGTGGATCACACTTGACCCCTCACTGAATCTTCACTGAAAGATGGGTAACCGTACTTCCAGGAGAATGACAAGAAGCATTATCTCTTGCTCCTCAATACATCAACGAACTCTGAAAAAATGTAGTATCCACATGGGCAAACTCCCCAATGCCTTTGACATGCTGGATGGTCACGCTACTAAATAATTGCTTCAAAGGAGTGGGTGCAGCAATTTAGGTGTTGAATAAAGGCGAGCATGCCTCCCCGGCGCCTAAGTAGGCGACATGCGAAGCGTTTCGCTGTGAAAGGCTGGTTCGAAGCGAATTAGCAACCCTACCCTTTCCGCGAGGGCTTTGGGTTTCCGCCCGCGTTCTATCGGCTGCTTCATCCTCTGGCGCATGTTCATCGGCGCCCTATCTCACAGGAGAGAGGCGAAGCATGGCGTTCATATTGGCGATGTCAGCTGTCGATGTATTGAATCCAGCGCCAAAACCACGGGGCCGAACAAAAATGTTATTTTACGGGTCCCAGGGCGTTTATTGGCTTCCCTTACCTTTTGGTACCTTTCAGCACGTCAGCTCTAATTTTCAATCGAATGGGCTTACCCGCTGTCTTCAATACGGTGATCATCGTATAACGAGGAATAATAGGAGTTGTTAAACCAGATAGACGAAAGGGAGGGGAGTCTTACTGAAGGAGAGCAATGTGGAAGAATACGCGTACGAAAACGTTTTGCCAATAGGAAATAATATGCAGTCTAATAATATGCTCGTAAAGTTGCGGCTTTCGACTAACAAGTTCTTAACGATGGGAAGTCAATTGGTCACCAGGTTCTTGAATGGTTCATCGTCTATCCCTGGCTTGGGACATACTACATTCAGGGCAAGGGACAGATTTGAACTCTGCAAGATTTGTACCCTGAAACGGAGGAGCACGCCGCAGTCACGCCAGGCAGAAAATATTTGTTTGCAGATTCTCAAAATTTATTCTGTGCTCAACAGTGAACTCCATCATGCCTTGTACGGAGTTCCGCCTGTAGACAGAGATGTCTTCAAAACTCGTTTGCCGATCCTTAGGAACAAGAGTTCAAACAGTCTGCTTCAATCGGACTTGTTCGTGAGTGCGCCATATACTCGGTACCCATGCAGAATCGTAGACGCATTTGATTGCTGATATTATACATATCTCCTTATCTTTGCTAGCTTAGTTTTACTTATACACCAAACACACGTCGCTACTTTGTGATTTAGCTCAAGCACGTCAGATAGTTTCCATGCGTGCCGTTCTCCCTCGACCACGACCTCACGCAAGACAAAGCACGAGAGGCACAATTCTTTTGTAACACTCTTCGGCGCGGCGTGCCGCGGTTTCCAACCCTCAAATAGTCTATAACACCTTTTTTGGCTGCTTGCACTTACGAATCGTATCTTCTCACAATCAGCTAACTAACTGTGTCCCTTCGCCGCAGATCGCGACGTACACTTAACCCTGGACTGAGGAAAGTAGTTTTGGGTTGGTACTGATGAGAGAGGTCGTATTTGAGGGTATTCGAGGGTATGATGGGTAGAGGGCGGTGCAGTTTGATGGCCGTATTGAAGATTACTACTTTGGAGGCGGTCTCAACCCAACCCTTGGCGCGTTGAGGGGCTGATTGACTAGTGAAGGTGAGCGAAAACCGCTCCACCCTCCAGCCGTCGTGATCACTTCCTTCTGAAGATTCCCACGCCGGCGTGCATAGTCCCACATAAATTCCGATGCCTATGTTTCTTCGGACTACTGACACTGGGACCCATCAGAATCAAATATTTATTTCGTGCTAAGTGAACCAAGCACTGGGGAATCCGTGGATCGAGGATTTGAGGCGGTGTCTTGAGATCTGTTTGTTACTCATAGTTTGAAGTTGCTAAATGTTCTTCAAATCGCTTACCTCATTCTGCTCAACTATACAGTACGCCGGCTGAGTATGAATGTGGTATATATCTCATCCGTTCTTCGGCAACTTATCTTGCAGAAGATTTGAAAGTCGCCTTTTCACGCGCGATCAGACACATTCACATTCAACTCTACGGCCTGGTATGCGGTGTGTAAACAAATGCTGGTATCTAAGTCAAGATACCGACGGAAGCGGCCATCCCCGTTTACTCTAATGAAGGCATTCTCCACGCTTGAGATGTTGGTGTAGCTATACCTTATGAAACTGTATGTGCGTAATTGCCCCAGTTTAGTCAAGTAATCCTTAGGAAATGTAAAGAACCTTGGTCTCCTTTTGATTATGATAACAACTTTTCAGGAAGAAACTTAAACTGGACTTGCGTACGTGTAAGAATGCTTCCTTTCTCATAAAATCGAGTTTCAATTTCCCTTTTCTCAAGGTGCTTTGGGTGTAGCAGTCTACATTGTAGGGAAAAATGAAACACTTAATCCTCTGCTGAGTTCACTTTTCGGAGAAAAGTCCATAGCGAAGAGGCGGAGCTATAGTAACTTTTAAACTCAGCTGCGTCATTTCTAGGGCGGTTTACACTGCGAGAACGCCACAGATCGTCTCACTCGTCTATGCCAAATCCATCATTTTGTACGGAGTTTCGGGATATAGTGGAAAGAACGAACAAGTCCAAAGAAGCAATACACCGAACGTACTCTCTATAGCCCCGAAGCCTTGGACCATGTTCACTCCAGTGGAGCATCACGTAATTCTTACTTGGT